CTCACTGCCAAAAGAAGAAGCCGACTTTGTTCTTTCCCTTGCACTTTTTTTTCTTCCCCGCAGCCAAACCTCCTTGCACTCACAAAACCCTAGAGAGGAATAGCTATTTATAGCCTGGAATCTTGTGCTTAGCCTGGATGCGGTTTTCAAAGCTTGGGCCTCACAAAAAACCCGCTGGATCTTGTGCTCATATACGTGGGTGTGGTCCCCACATGACTCCACCGTTCACACTATACTCTAAAATTGGAGCGTAGATGTAACACCCTCATTTTTAACATATTCAAGTATTAAGTAATATTTTCGTGTTACATCTATGTTAAACTACATTTCCTATAAATATGGTTGCAACAACATAATACTCTAATTACATCAACCTAATCATATCCATGATGCTGTAACTATATTTGTAGTTCTAATACCTACGTTGATAGAGAGGACAAAGTTTACGGGCTGTAGTAGCATAAAATAGAATATAAAAATTAACTACACAGCGAGAATGTCAATTTTTAGTAATTAGAGTTGAACTGTTGGTAATTTCTGACAGTATTGTAGAATATATACTTTATGTGAAGTCTGTATTGCTTCTCTCTTCTCTCATAAATCAAAGTATGGTGGTGCAATCTCCTTCTCTTTTAGTAATTACGTTACTAGACAATGCTAAACTGCTAATGGCGTCAAAGATCAAATATTAATCAATCCTCTATTCGTTAGTATTTATTATATTTTTGATAGCTTTTTTTGCCTGATTAATATTTTAACTACAAGTAGACAAAGATGCTGAGGGAGTAGAGAAAGATGAAGAGGACAATTTAGATGTTGATGAAAAAAGAGAGGCAATTTGGGGCTGTTTGGTTGCACACTTTTTGAGAAAACTTTTCTCAAAACATCTGACAATGGCAAATTTATAATTAAAAGTTTTCTAGAGATTTCTGTAAATTGTGTTTGGTTCAACAAAAAATTTACAGAAATATTTTCTATAAAATATCAAAACCTACCAAATTTTATAAAAAATAATTTCCTCTCAAAATGAGAGGAAATCACCAGAACTCTGACACATACCATATTTAATTAAAAACCTACAAAATCTTGTTATTTTCTATAAAGTTATGAGCCATTTTCTTATTTTGAACCAAACAAGCAAAGTACAAAAAACAAGAAAATTTGTACTTTTTGATTTCTCAAAACTTTTCCTATAATTTTTTTAAGAAATACAAGGAAATCATATTTTAAGTGAAAAACATTTCCTATAATTTCTAGAAATTGAACCAAACACCCCCAAAGAGTGGGGAAAAAGCAAAGAAAAAATAGATACAGAGAAGGCAAAGATAAGAAAATCGTAATAGGATTGCTGCAGATTACTTCATTTAAATTTAGATATGATTTATCAAACAACTAAATTACCAAATTAGTATTCCAACTTGACATCATTTTTCAATATGGTATTTATTTTTGCTCTGGTGTCAATATGGTATTTTACCTTGTGCTTAAATGACAATAAGGCTCATTTTATCATCCATGGTTAGGATTTCCCAATGAAGCTCCGACATGACCTATTTTAACCATTCGTCGACGTGGCAGAGAACATTTGACTAGGCTAAGGTAGTTAGCAGGCTTAAATTAGAGTTTTATTTCTAATTGAGGGCAATATTGGGGGAAATTTTAAAATTGGGTGCAATATACGCAGCAAATAAGGAGAAACTAAGCTAGGAAAAGATAAGGACCACTCATCAAGACCTAATTTTGTTTGGGAAGGAGTGACATTATGGTAATTTTTGGGTGCATTCGATGAAAAGAGGGAATCAGAGAATTTTTACGTAATTTGGGATTTGAAGTTAATATACCTGCATAACCCTTGCCACATCAGCAAGCCACGTTAGATTGATGAATAACACATATGACACGTAAGAGCCTCGCCGAAAAATTCTCACCGTCGATGGCAAAATGAACTTATTGTCACCGGTGCACAAGTTAAAATATCATATTGATGCCGAAGCAGAAATAAACATAATATTTAAAATAATATGATCGAATTAAAATACCAATTTGATAATTTAGCTTTTATCAAAAAACAGACATAATATGATATTTGAGTCCTACTCTGCGGCTACGCTGCGATGCAAAAAAGTTGTGATGCAATTTGTACTCAAGTCGTTGTCTGGCCGACGAGCTGCTCCATTGCCGCAGTCCGAACGGCCATTCTGAGCCCCGTTTTTGAACGACTCGCAATTAGGGAAGCCTCAGAATAGACTGAGCCAGGAAGGCCAGAGTCGGATCATAAGCAAGTTCCCAAAATGGTATTAAGTGGGCTCCTCGCGACGGTGTAAGTAGTCGGAATCAGCGGCCGGCGTCCCCCATCGTCGTCTAGTGTGGAAACCGCCCACCTAAATCTAGTACATATACTAACCATGCCGAAGGTAAGACAAGCTAGCAAAACGTCCTGTCCATCTGGAAGGGTCCACGCGTATCAGGGCGAAAAAAAAAAAGTGGGGAGTGGGGGGGGGGGGGGGGGGGGGGTGGGGGGGGTGGGGGGGTGTGGGGGGGAGGGGGGGGTGGGTGAGGTGGGTGGGGGGTGGGATGGAGTGAGGGGAGTGGGGGGGGGTAGGGGGAGGATAGTAGAACACTGGTATGGGAGTGTTTAAGAGTGTGCTCACGAAAGTCTAGTAATCCCAGCAACTCGCTTTTATGCGTGTGCAGCTGAAGGTGTTACGGTGTCTTGTTTTTTAATGTATGTCTAGAATATCTACAATTTGCATCGGCTTAATTACACTTAAATACCATCATTTATTTTTCGAGAAGTTATATATCTTGAAGTTTTTAAAATTACCACTTTGAAATTCTTAGTCATGTGAAAAATAATTTTTTTTTTCCAAAATTCTCATGTGACACTCACATGTCAATTCTAGATCATTTAAGGGTTAAAAAGTTCTAAATATAGTATGTGAGTGCCCCCATGAAATTTTTCGACGGAAATTCCCATATTTGCATAACTCAGAGTGATAAACTATAAATTTTAAAAATTTTATGATACATAAGTACTGTGAAAATCAAATGAGGATATGTAATTACAAAATACAGGAAATTATAAGGTAATTAAGTGCAATTAAGCTGATCTATTTGAAATACATTTATTAGCGTACTTCATATACTTTGATTTTAACCAGCTGCTACATTATCAATTTACCATTAAAGAGACTTTTCAGACGCATCTGTTTCATTTAGGAGGCGAGAAAATTACCTAAATTAAGGGGCTGTTTGGTTGCACACTTTTTGAGAAAACTTTTCTCAAAACATCTCACAATGGCAAATTTGTAATTAAAAGTTTTTCAGAGATTTCTGTAAATTGTGTTTGGTTCAACAAAAAATTTATAGAAATATTTTCTATAAAATATCAAAACCTACCAAATTTTACAAAAAGCGATTTCCTCTCAAAATGAGAGGAAATCACCAGAAATCTGATACATACCATATTTAATTAAAAACCTACCAAATCTTGTTATTTTTTATAAAGTTATGAGCTATTTTCTTGTTTTGAACCAAACAAGCAAAGTACAAAAAACAAGAAAATTGGTACTTTTTGACTTCTCAAAACTTTTCCTATAATTTTTTTTAAGAAATACAAAGAAATCATATTTTAGGTGGAAAACATTTCCTATAATTTCTAGAAATTGAACCAAACACCCCCTAATATGTAGATGAAAAGTTTAAACTAATCTAATTTAGGAATTGAAGTTTGAGGAGCTGTTTACCTAAGCAACACATCAAAGCTGCAATTTTTGTGAAGTCAGTGTACCAAAATCAAGGATTATGAAAGTATTAATAAGATTTTAAAAAACTGATGGCAATCATTAAAAAGTTCTGACCAGAAAACAAAGAAGGGACACGTCAGTTTCTAAATCGCGTTGGTTTCGTCGGAAGAATATGCGTATTAAAAATCACGCTCTCACGATTTAATTAGATATGACCTTCTGTCCCATTTGTCTATTAAATGAATAATCATTCGATGGTGATGTGAGGATTTTTTTAAAAAAACTTTTTTGACCCCTCGTCATATAAAAGGGCGATATATTTAAATTTCGAGTATCATCACTTTCATGACGATAGTAACAATTGAATTGAAACTTATCAAAGCTAGGCGATCGATTATAACAATAATTATATGGTTCAAAAATGCTATCAGCAAACTTTTTTATGGGAAATTATAAAGATTTCATTAATTAAGAACTTGCTCTATTACAATCAGCAAAAAAAAAGTACAATATTATTAGATGTTTCTTTCATCCAAACTATCATATTACTTTAATATAATAAGAATATGTCGATTTTTTGAAATAGATTCATTATTAAAAAAGATCTCCGCAATTGATCCTCATTTTATTCTCTGAATGCAATTTTAGTACGTATATCAATTAGACTTACCTTCATTTCTTTCCTTTTTCTTAGCAGGCTTTGCATTTATCATCCACCAATGTATTATAAGTTTATTAATTAAATTTTCAACGAGATTTAATAGTTCCTTTTCACTTCTAAGATCTTATAGACTAAGTGTTTATATTTATTTTCTACACTACCGTTAATTACATTATAGCTGTTAAGAAGCGGACAAATCACAATTAAAAGAATTGAGGAATATATTGAGAAAAAAAGTTTGAGAAACTGAACCTTGAGAGGCTATCTGGCTATGTTTTCACTACCAAACTATAATTTTTATACAGAGTAATTTTTGTTTGAAAAAAAGCGTGTTTGTAAGGATATAAGAGACCTTTTTTTTTTCAAAATAACATCCAGAGAGTTTATTTCAGTTAAAAATTGGGAAGCCCCTATAATTTTATATAATTGCAATTTTACGTGTTTTGTCTTCTTGGACAATTAACAAAATTTCCATGGTAAAAATCTCTGTCATTTTTTACCTCCTTTATCTTTGAACAAAGCAAAAAAATGTAAAAGAAAGAAGCTAACGCATGCAATTTCAGGAAAGAAATAAGCGTCTAAGCGCTAAACCCCCCCTCTATAGAAGCCACTCTTCACAGCCCACCGGTCAACCCAAGAACCGCAGCAGCTCCAACTTCCAAAGCACTCCGGTGCCTCCTCCACCTCCGATCACAACCCCAGCACAAACACCACCAGAAACCCAAGGCCTCATTTCGCAAATACCAAAAAATCAAAGGTCGATCCTGCAAATTAAAGAATGGGGAGCTACAAGTACTGCATCTGCTTCACTCGAAAGTTCCGATGGAAGGAGGCCCAGCCGCCGCCGGACGTCAAGTCCGCCTTCGACCAATTCGCCGGAGGAGGGCCACACATGAGCTCCGACCAGTTCCAGCGGTTCCTCGTCGAGTCTCACGGCGACGGCGGCGAGTCTCCGGCGAGGAGGCCGATCGGATCTTCGATCAGATCCGGCAGCAACGGCAGCGCCACGTCATCGGGAAGTTGGCGAGATCCATGATCGCTGTTGAGGATTTTCATCATTACTTGTTCAATGAGGAGCTCAACCCCCCGCTCAGATCTCAGGTGAAGTTAGGGTTTTAGAAGAACTTGAGTAGATTTGATTTTGATCAGTGCGTTTGGGGATATTTATGGTAGTAGTTGTGGTTTAGGTTACAAATCTAGAGAAAGCCCCAAGCTTTGTAGTGTCCTGTTTTTATTTTTGGAAAGATTCGGAGGGAAGTGTGAAAGAGTTTAACTGACTGATATAGCTTTTGTTGTTTACTGATAATTATTGCTTCGGTTGAGGGGAAGCAATTAATGACTTTGAATTTGTTTCCCAAACTGATCTTAGCATTTTTGAAGAATTATGCAAATTCATAAGCGCTTTGCTATCTTTTATAGATTCATGATGGCGTGCTCATATGGACTTTACAATTTACGCTTGAAAATGTGCACCTTTTTTAATGGCAGATGTATAGTTTTCTTCATGATTTTAATGGTCTTTACACTGCTTGTGATTTAAATCAAGCAGTTTAGAGACCATTTCTCGATGCAAGTGCAATTTGAATGGTTTCTCAAACAAGACGAGTTGGTGGATGTTAATTTGAATGGTTTCTTAAACAAGACCAGTTGGTGGATGTGCAAGAACAGCCTAAATTGTATGCTTTTTTCTTCATAAGCATGTGGAGGCCAAACATGTGTTTCAGAATGTAATATATGAATTTCCTAGATTGTCAATCACATATCAAGATTTCTCGTGTGGGTATCCCTACATGTACGACACAAAATGATCTCAAAAGAGGAATCAGGTTATGACACTTTGATAATCAAAGTGTTATACAAACTAATGACACAAAATGATCTCAAAAGAGGAATCAGGTTATGACACTTTGATAATCAAAGTGTTATACAAACTAAAGTGAAAGAGGACACATGACTCTTGCTTAAGGTTATGACACTTTGATAATCAAAGTGTTATACAAACTAAAGTGAAAGAGGACACATGACTCTTGCTTACTATTTTTGAATAAAACAAACTGTATGTTTGCCCATCTAACGGCGTCATGTTGCTATGTTTTACAGATTCAGTGCCAACTAATTGGATTAACCTTTTCTATAATGTCCACTTTGGGCATCTCTCTGAACTCCCAATAGCAACATAGACAAAGACAATGTATGACTAGCCACTAAAGTCTGTCATATCCATTGCATTTTTTTTTATTTTTACAGTTGGATATTTGGTTTTGCATTTCTTTGGCATGAAAATATCATAATATTTTATTGCAGTAGCAAATCATGCACTCTTTTGTCGTATCACATTACTTGAGTGTGTCCTTCTAAGTACATTCATGATTCATATAGCCAAATGAAACATGATATGATTCTTTTGTTATCAACTCTTTTATTTGATATGAACTTATGCGTGCGTATTTAACATGCTGCTCTTACTATTTAAAAATACCTTAGTACATGCAATGCAGCTATGTTTCGTGTATTTTAACTTGTGCCTTTAAATGACTATTACTTCCACACTAAAATCTTGTTTCATGACATAATATCTTGATTTCCAGGTGCACCAAGATATGACTGCTCCGTTGTCCCATTATTACATATATACAGGTCATAATTCATACTTGACTGGGAACCAACTCAGCAGTGATTGCAGTGATGTTCCAATTGTAAAAGCTCTTCAAAGAGGTGTTCGAGTTATTGAACTGGATATCTGGCCGAATTCTGCTAAAGATAATATTGATGTTCTTCATGGAAGGTGCTCACCCACTTCTCCTTTTCTAGTGCATGGACAGGACATCTTACATTTTGCATTTTCTATTTGACTATTCTTGCTTTATGGGCATCATTAATTCTGAGGTGTAACCATTGAGGTGTTGTCTTTTCGAAAAGATAACTGAGGATTTAATATTCAGCGTTTTTATTTTGCTAGATATTCCATATAGAAACTCAGTGACAATTTTAATCTTGGTACTGAAATAAAATGGATACTGCAGAAACCTGAGCTTCTTTTTTTTTTCCTTCTATTTCTCTATTACACATATAGAAAGGAAGATATTATCCCATCTACCCTCTTTATATGTTGTTAATTATCTTCACAATGATGTTATTATGTATTTATTTATTTCAACATCACCCGTCAAGGCAATAACCTGATCCTGATCAGATAAGGCAGATCTGAGAAGAAACAAGGCAGATCTGAGAAGAAACTCTTCCTCTTTTTACCTTCTAAAATTTTTAGTTCCATCATTCTATACTATACTAGGCTACATCTAAACTATAACATGATGCCACAGAATTAGCCTGTTTCACTTAAAATTTTCTTGATATTCTACTTTCTGACTTTGATTGATTTACATTCTTGCTGAAGGACATTGACTTCTCCAGTGGAACTCATTAAATGTCTGAGGTCGATTAAAGAGTATGCCTTTTCGGCATCTGAGTACCCTCTTGTAATAACTCTAGAGGATCATCTTACTCCAGATCTTCAAGCGAAAGTAGCTCAGGTAGTTTCCGTTTTCCGGGAGTCAGCCAACATTTGGAAACATTCATGTGTTGTCAATTGATCTTTTTCCTCCTTAAATTTTAGATGGTAACTGAAACATTTGGAGAGATGCTGTATTACCCTGACTCGGAGGATCACAAAGAATTCCCTTCACCAGACTCTCTTAAGAAGAGAATTATCCTTTCAACCAAACCCCCAAAAGAGTACCTTGAGGCTAAAGATTCCAAGGGCAAGGAGAACGGATCTCAAAATGGAAAAGATCCAAATGAGGAAGAAGCCTGGGGAAAGGAGCTTAAAGACTTCAAATTTGAATCTGAATTCGATGATAAGGTGAAACTACAACATAGTATTTTTACACTAACTAACTGAATGTTATCCAAATTTTATCGTTAAACCCCTTTTAAAAATATTGATTGATATTAACAGGATGAGAATGATCAGAGTGATGACGAGGATGATGTTGCTGATGATGACCTCAAGTTACGCCAGAACTCGGCACCTGAGTATAAACGCTTGATCACTATCAGGGCTGGGAAGCCCAAGGGTTCTTTAAAAGATGCACTTAGTGTAGATCCTGACAAAGTTAGACGCCTTAGTTTGAGCGAGCCGCAGCTTGAGAAAGCAACCGAATCTCATGGGTTAGATATAGTAAGGTAGTTTTATCTTTGAAAATTCACACATTTTGCTTTCTCTTCTGTTTCAATACTGGAGGCTCTTTTTTTTTTTTTGGGTTCCTGCAAAAATAGGGTAATGTGGAAAAATACCTTATTTAATATGGTTGTTAAAATCTAACAAAGTCACATGAACTCCATTTTATATTACAATGTTTTAATTTAGATTAAAATAATCCTGCCGTCCTTTTGTTTGTGATTTCTGGAAAATGCTTATTCGTGTCATTTTTCTTTAGGTTCACCCAGAAGAATATGCTCAGGATATACCCAAAGGGAACACGCTTCAACTCCTCTAATTATAATCCTTTGATTGGTTGGATGCATGGCGCTCAGATGGTTGCATTCAATATGCAGGTTTGGTTCTGTGCTTGATCTGCCTTTGTCTTTGATTTTTTTTTTTTTTGGTGGGGGTAAGGTTCCCTGTGATATGTTTATTTATCGGGCAGTTGATTTTCTAGCTATGATGTGACTTTCAGAGGAACTCACTTCAGGATCATTTTCTAAATGGAATTCAATAGGGTGAATTCATGCTTGTCCTATAGCCTTCTCAGGTTAACTCCATTGCTATGGTTCTGAATTGTGATAAACCATGCTGGAAATTAAAGGAAAATTAATTTTCCCTAAACATTTTTTGACTAAGGGAACATATAACAGTCAACTCCTCTTTGTCGTGCGCACTCTTCATCTTAATTGTTTGCAAGATTTTGCTATAGATTTGACAGAGGAAAAGGCTTCTGCTGATTTTTTTAATTTGGGAAACAGAGAATATCATATTGTTGTCATCCACATTGCTTGTTATGGTCAACAAATACCCATTCGCTCTCAAAACTCAAAAGCACGACTAAGTTTAGAAAAGCTGTTATGTTGTTAAATGTATGCTAGCTGATATCATTAGCAGGCTGGTTAAGAAAGGGTTATATCCAAGCATTATAACTGATGTGAAGCTTTCTTTTAGACAAACATTTATTTTTAAGCTAGCAAGTTGCGACTTTCTTCTGCAGCTTAACGTACAGATATTGCAGCTATTACGGATAAGTCAATTTATGAATGGAAACTCGTTATGGTTGATTTGGTGATATTTAGCTTCTACTTGATCTTTTTCTCTTTTAAAAGTCGTACTAAACATTAGAAAGAAATTCATCGTACATCTGATCATTTCTAGTCTTTCAGACATCACAATTACTATTTGTAGTTGATGAACTATGCATCTTTCTGCCCATTCTTTTTCCCGTTTGTCCAGAAAACTGATTTATATGAAGCTAGCTAGATGTTTAAGAATTTTTCTTAGTCAGAAATTGTGTTGCATTTCTCACCTATAGGGCTATGGAAGGTCATTATGGTTGATGCATGGATTCTTTAGAGCCAATGGAGGGTGTGGTTACATAAAGAAACCTGATTTCTTGATAAAGACCGGTCCGCATGGTGAAGTCTTTAACCCTAGGGCAACTTTACCAGTTAAGAGAACCTTGAAGGTAAACAATTTCTTAGAAAAAATTTCATTATTTTTTGGATATTTTTTCCAGATCCGATAGTAAAACTCATATCATATGAACTTTAACAGGTTAAAGTTTACATGGGAGATGGTTGGCGTATGGACTTCAAACAGACCCATTTTGATGCTTATTCACCTCCAGACTTCTATACAAGGGTGAGCAATATTGATCCTTAATGGGGATATTCGACCTTGAGAACCCAATGTTCATTTTAATCTTTGATACCCCAAAGTAGTTTTTTGCCCAAAAATACCCCAAAATTAAAAAACATTCAATTCTGGTACCCTAAATGACTTAGCAAGGGGTACCAAAGTTTTAATTTTTGTTGTAACTTTGGGGTATTTATTTGGATTCAAGGACTTTAGGGTCTCAAAGTTGAAAAATGTGTATTTTGGGGTACTAAGGCAAATAACCCAAACGTAAACCCTAACTTTCTGCACCTTTTCGGAATTCGCATTTGTTGTTTGTTTTGGTGGAAGTGAAACAAGAAAGTTATATTAGAAGTAGATAGTGGGGTTACATTTGCCCTTTGGATATTTTGACAGAGGAATTTGCTACTCCACTTCACATCAAAACAAGCATAAAATTCCAAGATAGGATTCTGATACTGATTGATTGCTTAACAGGTAGGAATAGCTGGAGCTCCGGATGATAGTGTTATGAAGAAAACAAAAACAATAGAAGACGACTGGACTCCAGTTTGGAACGAGGAATTCATTTTCTCGTTAAGAGTCCCTGAGCTCGCATTGCTTCGTGTTGAAGTGCACGAGTATGATATGTCTGAAAAAGATGACTTCGGAGGACAAACTTGCTTGCCGGTGTCAGAACTGAGACCAGGGATTCGGTGTGTGCCATTGTTTGATCGAAAGGGGAACAAGTTCAAGTCTGTGAAGCTTCTCATGCGTTTTGAGTTTGTTTGAGCTCGCTGGACGTGTAAATTATAGCTCTTATGCATTTTAGAAGTTCAAGAGGGTGTGATCAGTGTTGTATTATAGAATTCTTCCTGGTTTTTACCCCTTATTTTTATTTATTTTCCATGTGAGAGAAGTGTGTAAGGTTTGTTGTACATCGGTGTATTCGTGTTTTATGTGATCTTGTAAATGTTGATTAAACTTTAGAGAGAGAAGATTTGTTGAGTTTGTTTGAGCTCGCTGGATGTGTAAACTATAGCTCTTATGCATTTTAGAAGTTCAAGAGGGTGTGATCAGTGTTGTATTATAGAATTCTTCCTGGTTTTTAGCCCTTCTTATTTTTATTTATTTTCCATGTGAGAGAAGTGTGTAAGATTTGTTGTACATCGGTGTATTCGTGTCTTATGTGATCTTATAAATGTTGATTAAACTTTAGAGAACTTTAATAATGAATTAAGTGTTTCTTTTTATTTGAGAAAAATGTTAGGATGTAGTCTGTACAATAGCTTTGCTTTTTTTTTGAGTAATAACAAATTCTTATTTGGTACTAATAATTGTTTAAGATGACATAACATAGGCGAATAGATGTATTATATGTGTAAATGGCAAAATGATATGAAAACCAGCTCAATAGTTGATTTCAACAATCGAATGATCCATCAATGAGTGATGAGTGTAATCAATTGATAAAATTTTAAAGATAGCATTTGAGCTCATCGATAGATTACTCAGCAGTGACCCATCAATGAGTGTAATCAATTGATAAAATTTTAAAGACAAGATTTGAGCTCATCGATAGATTACAGAAATTCATCGATGGTGCTTGGAAATGTGAATGTGGGGGCCACTTGTTGTGTACTGGACACAACTCGTTCATTCTTAATACGAGCGCACGTGAAAAAGGCCCACCCGAAGACCGAAGACCCGAGTTTTTGGCAGGCATTTATATATTTTTTCCTCTCTTTCCAACTTTTGAAAGCTAGAGAACCAATCCCTCCTAGGGCAAACGTGGTATGAAGCACCCGAATCCAACATCCACTCTGTAGAGTTGGCAACAGAAACTGACGGTAGTACAGACAACGAATAGCCCGAAAAATCCGAATCTGAATTGTTGTCACTAGTCTTGACAACATTCACCTCTGAAGCTTGTACAACTTTCCTCTTATTCTTCTCGGCTCGATCTAACTTTGGGCATTCGGCTTTCCAATGTCCATCCTCTTTCCAAAAGGCACACTGATTCCTACGAATCCCACGATGTGCACCTCTAGATTACGACCTCCTGCTTCGGTTTGAACCACGACCTTGAACTACTAATGCATCTCCCGATGCCTTCTCGGAGGACTCATCAACACTCTTCCTCAACTCATAATTCACCAACGCTGAGGTCACCTCCTTGTAACTAACAGTAATTCTTCCATTAATCATAGTTAGGACAAAAGTAACCAACGCTGAGGTCACCTCCTTGTAACTAACAGTAATTCTTCCATTAATCATAGTTAGGACAAAAGTACCATAATCATCATCGGGCAACGAACACAAGAGTAGCATCTCCTTGTTTTCATCTTCAACCATGATATCCACATTAGCCATGTCTGAAAGTAGCTTTGTGAAGTTATTAACATGCTCCCTAATGGAAACTCCCCTCTTCATCTTGAACTGGTAAAACCTCTTCTTCAAGTGAAGCCGATTCTCAATGCTCTTAGTAAGATACTTTTTATTGAGTGTTTCCCACATCTTCTTCGCCGACGTCTCGTTCATCACGTCATAAATAAGATCCGGCGTCAAGCATGATCGAATAACTCCACACGCCCTACTATTCATTTTCTTCCAAACCTTAGCTTTCATATCGACAGGTTTCTCTTGTAACTCAAGAGTCTCCTCCAAATTCTGAGCGTCCAAGGCGTCCATCACCTGACACCTCCACAATCCAAAATTAATCTTACCGTCGAACTTCGGAACATCAATCTTCATGTTATTGATGCTCAAACTATGTATTATCTTCGTAAGAGACGATCCCGATGTGCTTGTTTCACCCATGTTGTCGATCTAATCTTCAAATAGGAATCCTTCAGCGAATCCTTCAAACAAGCTCCCAAGTCTAACCCGGAGGAGCTCTGATACCACTTGTTGTGCGCAGCGGAAATTTCGGCAGCACCTCCAGTGCGCAAGGTGCACAACAAGAGATTAGATCGAAAGAATTCCTGTTTCACCAAGAAAACAAGAATCTGAAGCAGATATCTCAACAAAGTGAGAGATCGGCTCTTCCTCTCATCAGTTCTAGGACTGACCTGTCGAGGGATCCTACAAGCTATTACAAATCACGACAAGAACACAAATTTTTACGTGGTTCGGCAAATAGCCTACGTCCACGGGGCAAGGAAGGGGAGATCTACTATTAGAGGGAGATATACAATTGGGGTTTACAATCTCACAAATAAAACCCTCTCACAAACTCTCAGATCCCTCACACAAATACTCTCTCAAAGAGATGCACAAATCAAAGAACAACTACAGCCGCAGTCCCTGAGCATCTGACTTCGCACAAAATTAACCACAACTGCCCCCTGTAGCCGCAATTAAACAAACCCCTTTGCTCTCAAAATTTGCCGCCAAAGTCTCGTGCTCCTCTGCCTTGCTGCCGTTTTCCCCCTCATCCTTTGCACCTGTAGCCGCAATTTTTGCTGCAGCCACCAAGTTCACAAAAAAGGCTCCTTGCACTCTTCACACGAAACCCTAGGGAGAAGGCTTTATACACACGAATCTATGGTCATTCGGGTGGGCCAGCTTAGCCCCACTAAAGCCTCTGTGAGAAACAATGTGTTACATTGTTCACGTGATGTGGGTCCCAATTGTATCTCTCCCTCTAATAGTAGATCTCCCCCTCCTTGCCCCGTGGACGTAGGCTATTTGCCGAACCACGTAAAAATTTGTGTTCTTGCTGTGATTTGTAATAGCTTGTAGGATCCCTCGACAGGTCAGTCTTAGAACTGATGAGAGGAAGAGCCGATCTCTCACTTTGTTGAGATATCTGCTTCAGATTCTTGTTTTCTTGGTGAAACATGAATTCTTTCGATCTAATCTCTTGTTGTGCACCTTGCGCACCGGAGGTGCTGCCGAAATTTCCGCTGCGCACAACAAGAAACCCATCGATGGTGGTGAGCAACAATCGACACTAAAGTTAGCTGATTGCAGATTTGATGTTTTTATCATAGTCATTTATCGTTCCTTTTGACCTTTAAACTCGACTACGTTAAGGATATATTTGTCCTAATCTATTGAAGGTTATATATTATTGAAAAAATAGAGAGAAGAGAGATCTCTAGGGTTTTGATTTGAGAAGAGATTTTATTGAATGTTTCAACTCCCGGAGACTTGACAAACTTTTTCTCGTCGCGCACATCTTCGGATTGTTTTGGTGAGGAGAGTTTCCCTTGGATTCATCATCATTGTTCATTGTGCTACACTTACATTCATCGAAAGACGACTTATTTATCAAAATTGTTGTAACATCTTTCATATCTTCTGTGCTTAACTGTGTTTGATTGGTTGTGTCTTAAACTTGTTTTTACGGCATACTCAACCTGGTATTAATTAAGGGTTAGGACTAGTTAGGGTTAGATGTTTACTTACTGTGGAGAGTTAGATTATATGACTAGTTTGAGATAGATTTCAAGATGTAATCTTTGTAAGCATACTGAATCGGATTGTGATTTAGGAGAATTCTTGACATAAGTGAGGAAGCCTTTTCGTGAGAAGGAAAAGCGGACATGAGATTGTCATCCGAACCACTATAAAATCTTGTGTGTACTTGATTAGTTGTTTTTTGCCTTTATGTTATTTATTTCACTGCATATTTTGTGTTTTTAACCAAAATCGGTAGCAAATCTATTTAACCCTCCTCTAGGCTTGCATCTCAGTTCCAACAAAAGTCTAAACGAATGGAGTACTTGTGCATCGCACATTCTGAATAATGAAGTCAATAAACTAGCCTCTTGGGTTTCTGGGAGATGCATGTCATTATTGATGATGCACCATTCTAGCAAGTCGGCAAATTAGATTGAAAGTCTCCACCAGGTTCTCCTCTGTGTCCCCACTCCACAGCTGTCCTTACAGTTACACGCAGCTGATTCCTTAGTCATTTGCTTTCATAAATTATTTTTGGTTTTTGAGTCCCTTTCATCAGGAGCTGTTTGGGTTTTCAACAAGTTAAATGGAAAAGAGTATGGGTGGTCATATGTTGACAAAATATAGATTGGTTATATGAGTGGTTATACTTTTATTTTTAATCTCTTTTTTTGAGAGGATACAGTTTTTGTTCTTATTAAATTGGTTGTCATATTTGTTGCATATTATTCTATCATTTTTATGTTTATTTACCTTTTCTCATTACAATGTTCTAATCAAAGATGTAATACATAGATCTGACAGCAATATTTCTTCAGTCTTTTCCTCTTAAACAGGCATTAGTTTCCACAGCTTTACCTACTGAAAATGTCTTATATTGTATTTTTGCGGAGTAACTGTTTTAATTATTTTAGAGTATTTTCTTTTGACAGTAGCAATACAATATAAATTATCCCAGGTTCAACTAGAAATAAATATTGAAATTCTAGTTTATAAATACCTCAGCTAAGTTTGACGCAGCGTAGAAGTAAAAACCTCGGAATCCACTAAGAGTGTTCTTTGAATCCACAAAGAACGATCTCCGAATCCACGAAGAAAATATTGAAAGAGAAATTTTATGATGAAAAGATATGCCTCTAGGACTTACAATACTCTGCTTAAATAGAAAAGAAACAAGACTTTTACTATGACTCAAACTTTACCAAAAATAAAAATAACAAAACTCTTCCTAAAAAGACTCCTTAAGATTAGGGAAGTAAATCGGTCAAATTTGGGATCAAACCGGATTTGCTCCCTGTAGGCTATCTAAAAATTACTGCAGATAGCTGATCCCCATCAAACATCAATGATGAAAGTTACAATCTAACAGTTTTAAGAAGACTATAATTTGAAAGCTTTCACGTAGATCGATGAAAGCTCTAATTCAACAGCCTTCACAATCAACATCGGGAGTTATGTAGGCATCGAAAATTGCCTGTAGGTCTCCACAAACAGCTCAATGTCAAAGAACGACGATGAACGTCACTATCCGATCCACAGGAGTTTAATTGACGTCGATGAACGAGTAAAGTGAATCGACGAACTACGTGAGCTGATTTCGAAGGCACGGGC